CATCCACCTTCAAATTGTTGATATCTTGGGATTCCTCTATAGCAGTTACCTTCATTGCAAATCTTTTAGGCAAGGATCTGAGAATCTTTCTCACCAGTTTTTCTTCTGACATCTTTTCTCCCAATGCTCCTGAGGTGTTGGCAATCTCCAAGATGTTCATGTGAAACTCATCAATGGTTTCATATTTCATCATCCTTAGGTTCTCAAATTTGGTAGTCAGCATCTGAAGCCTTGACATTTTTACTTTGGATGTGCCCTCATGGGTAGTTTTGAGAGTGTCCCAAACTTCCTTGGCCAGTTCACATTGATGTACTAGTCTGAATATGTTTCTATCAATTCCATTGAACAAGGAATTTAATGCTTTAGAATTACCCAGGGCTAACTCATCTTCTTCTTTGCTCCATTCTTCCTCAGGTTTCAGACTGATTGTCCCATCTTTCTCAGTTATGGTGGGATGGTTCCATCCTTTGTCAGCAGCTCTCCAAGCCTTTTTATCCAGTGATTTTAAGAAGGCAATCATACGAGGTTTCCAGTAGTCATAATTTGATCCATCCAGAATGGGTGGTCTGTTTCCAAAAACTCCTTCTTTGTCCATAGCGCCAGAAAGTGATATCCCTAGATCTCACCCAGTAAGACAGGCAGGGTGCCCGCTCTGATGCCAATTGAAATTCTGGCAGCAGATACTCAATGTCACAGTGAATGTTATGACACCGTATCTGATTTTCTATAAGATAGTAAATCAAAAAGCAGTAAAGAACACAGTCAATTGTTTACCCAGTTCAGTGTGAAACAACACCTACTCTGGGGGCTACCAAGCCAGGGAGGAAATTCACTATAAGAGATATTAATTCAGGAATAAACCAACTAGTTTATCTCCTTCACTTAAGACCTACCCAATACAACTTCAATCTAAGTTCAACTTAAACCTGAGTTCCTACTCACTCCCCCTCAATCACAGTAGTGATACTAAACAATTGACTAATGAAATTATGAAGACACTCTTCAGAACATACACTTGATTATGCTTCACAGCTTTTAATCAAGTAACACAAACACTCGTGCTTCAAAGCTTTGAGTGATACATAAACCTAACTTGACCTTGCTTCAAAGCTTTAATCAAGTGACACAAACACTCGTGCTTCAAAGCTTTGAGTGATACACAACCCTTACAATCAAAACCTACTCCAAGTCACTTATCACAATGATACTTGCTTGGATTACAGTAGTTAAAACTATACAGCCCCTTGTTGATCTTCTGTCAAAAAGTTGACTTCACCAACAGCCTTCCTGTTGAATATATAGGCAGTTGTTCTTCAGTTAGGGCTTCCACGAAAATAACTAGGGTTAATTAGGGTTAACCTCAAGACTTGGTCACGAGACTTTATCAACCAGATTAGGTTTAAGCCAAGTTAACCTAAAGTCTACGTGAGATTCTGTTCTGGAATGTATGAACCATATTCCTGAAAAATCTCAGAATTAACAAAACTGCATAACTGTTAGATCAGTACAGGATATCTTAACATTGGTTATGACAACAAGAATCCTGTTTACTGATTTGGTAGAATGTAATAAATGTGATCATTTCATAATGATCAGCTACACACTCATAATGAGCAGCTACTGTATGCCATTCTTTTTCTGCAGAAAGTACCTAGTAACCCAGAATGTTATGACATCAGTCATGACATTCACACACCTGGTTTTACCAAAAATACATGCCAATAACCAAACACTTTATATATATATATATATATATATATATATATATATATATATATATATATATATATATATATATATATATATATATATATATATATATATATATATATATATATATAGACTTTAGGGATTTAAATAATGCTACTCCTAAAATGAGTACCCAATGCATGTGGCAGAAATGTTAGTTGTTTGGGCTGCAGGATTTGATTACTTAAGTTTGCTATATGGGTATTCAGGGTACAATCAAATCTTCATCACTGAAGAGGACGTACCAAAAACAAAGTTTCGGTGCCAGGATCCTTAAGGACTTACGAATGGGTAGTGATTCATTTCGGTCTAAAAAATGCCGGGGCAACCTATCAAAGGGCTATGAATTTGATGTTCCATGATTTAATCGATACATTCATGCAAGTGTACATCGATGACATAGTTATGAAATCCTCGTCGGAAAATAGTCATTTAGACTATCTTCTACAATCCTTCGAAAGGATGAGGAAATAAAAATTAAAAATGAATCCATTGAAATGTGATTTTTGTGTTCATGCAGGTGAATTCTTAGGTTTTGTGGTGCACAAGAAAGGAATTAAAATCAATCAAAACAAAACCAAAGCAATCTTGGACACCAAGCCTCCTCGACAAAGAAACAATTTAGTCTTTGTTGGGAAAAATAAACTTCCTAAGGAGATTTATATCCAACCTAAGTGGAAAGACGCAAGCGTTTTGCCATTGCTTCGACTTGGGAAGGAGCACGATTCCATATGGGGAAATGAACACTAGAAGGCTTTCGACGAAAATAAGATGTATTTGACAAAGCCTTCCATTTTATTACCCCTATTAGAAATAAGAGCATGAAATTGTATATATATATATATATATATATATATATATATATATATATATATATATATATATATATATATACACACACACACACATCAGGTTCGACCATAGCTAGGCGTTTTAAGAGCCAAAAGGATGAGAATGGCGTTTTAAGAGCCATCTATTACCTTAGTCGAATAATAAATGATGCTGAAACCATATATAGTGCAATTGAAAAGTTGTGTCTTTGCCTATACTTTTCATGTACTAAACTTAAGCACTATATAAATCTTGTTGATATTTTTGTGTATTTCCATTTCGACGTGCTTAAACATATGTTATTAAAACCTATCCAGCATAGAAGAATCAGAAAATGGGTGTGGTTGTTACTGAATATTCCTTAACTTACACAACTTTGGAAGCCATAAAAGGCCATATCGTCATAGACTTTATAGTCGACCATTTGTTGGTCAAAGCAACCGAAAATTATGTAGGAAAAAAGCCTTGGAAATTATATTCGATGGTTCTAGACATAAAGATGGAACATGAATTTGAATCCTCATTATTTCTCCAAAGGATATATCGACCAAGTTTAGATTTATAACCGAATGTCATTGTTCAAACAATGAGGCTGAATGCGAGACTTTGATAACATGCCTTTAGATTTTATTGGACTTGGGGGAAAAAGAAGTTGAAATCAAAGGTGACTCAGAATTAGTGGTGAAACAACTAAGAAAGGAATATAAATGTATCAAGAAAAACTTGAGATATACTTTGTCACTACAAACACCCTCCTAAAATGTTTCACCTTCTTCGATATTAACCATGTGACTCGACTGGAGAACCAGGAAGCGAATGATTTGGAACACATTACTTCGGCCTATAAAGTCTCCAAGGAGAGGCTAGAAGTGTTGGTTGAAGTCAAGGATAAATTGGTTGTGATTGACTGCTACCCAAACACATCACCAATGCCAAAACTTGAGGTGGGGGCGGGGAAGAGTTTGAAGTTATACTAAACATAGAGAGTTCTAAAAATTTTGAAATTTCCGAAACTCATCAAGTTTTTTTCATTGATCTAATGTTCGATGATGATTGGAGAAAACCAATTTTCAAATACTTAGGAAATCCAACATGATCAACATATTGAAAAATTAAATATAGATCCTTGAGCTATATGATCATGGGAAATGAATTATTTAAAAAAAAAACCCATGAGGTCGTTTTTCTTAAGTGTCTTGGTGAAAGCAAGGCATACTTAGCGATTTCTGAAGTACATAGAGCATCATGTGGTTCTCATTAGGCTGACCAAAAGATGAAATAGTTGTTGTTTTGAATCGCAGTGTGCTAGCCAACTATGTTAAGAGATTGCATAGATTTTGCAAAGGGTTGCCAAGAGTTCCAAAGGCATTTGGGTATCCAATATAAGCCTGAAAGTGAGTTGCACTCAATAATAAAACTTTGGCCTTTTAGAGACAGGATTAAACCTTCGTAGTCGAAGGGGCATAAATATATCCTAGTCAAATTAAATTACTTCACTAAATGGATATAATCCATCCCTCTACCTAACATCGATCAGGAGGTCGTGATTAGTTTCATCTAAAATCATATTGTATATAGATATGGAATTCCTGAGACTATTACCACAAATCAAGTCTCATTGTTCGCAGGTCGAAGGGTGGTATATTTTTCCTTAGAAACAGGGTTTAACACCCTATTATGTTCAAGGCAATGGTCGGGTCGAAGCGGTCAATAAAGTCATAATTGATTTGATTAAAAAACACATAGGTCAGAAGCCAACAAATTGGCATAAGATATTAGACCAATTATTGTAGGCATGTCGAAATTCCCTTAAAGAGTCTACAAACTCCACACCATTTCGACTTATGTATGGGTACAATGTAGTGTTGCTCGTCGAAATATACTTGTAGTTAACCATAATTCAAAGGCAAGCTGAAATACCAACCGCATACTATTGGGTATGATGTTAGATGAATTGATTGACTTAGACGAAGAAAAGTTGGATGCTCTAGATGTCCTAATACGACAAAAAGAACGAGTTGCTAAGGCGTATAAGAAAAAGGTTAAAGAAAAAACCTTCATGTTTGAAGATTTAAACTTGAAAGTTATTTTTACCATAGATAAGAAGGATCGAAACCTGGAAAAATAGTCCCCAAATTAAGAAGGACCGTTTTGAATCATGCAAGCATTTACAAATAATGCGCATGAAGTCGAAGAATTGAACCCTGAAGGTCGAATCCTGCGAATAAACAACAAATATTTAAAAAGATATAGACCTACATTGCATTAAATTCAAATACAGTAAAAATAGAAAATTAAACTTCAATATAAAAGACTAATGGTTTTTTAACCCAAATGTCAAAATGCCACAAGAGGCATATATAAGATTACAAAACAACTACCGTCTATCAAAATGCAAACCAAAAGCAAAAATACAAGTTTTAAAAGGGAAGAAAGGCTTTGAATCTTTCATATTGAGCCCTTGTTGCCACTAGTCGAAGCCCAGTTAGTGAAATGGTTGAAGTGATGCTTTTGATCTCTGCATCCAAAGTGTCAACTTTTTCAAAATATTGGACTCCAATCAAGGCTTCATCATTCAGTCGTTGTCGACCGACACTTCGGAGTTCATCCTGTCTATCTTCAGCCTTCTTCACCTTTGATTGTAATTCTACTATTTGTTGCTTCCACATAAGAAAACATGGTATCCTTCAATTGACAAAGCACCTCTTTAATAGGTTCGATGGAAGAATCTCCTCCAGAGGACGTCGAAAAGCTTGAACATTTTTCAGTAGAACTGACTCGCATGTTCATCATCAGCTTCAGATACACTGAAGGTTTTGTTCTTTTCAGTTCTTCTTGGGAAAGAGGGGATGGTTGGACAGTCGAAGTTAATTCATGAGGTTTGTTAGCCTATGGCGCAACCTTCAATGATTCATCACCCTCTAGTGGTTCATCTTCACGTCCTTTTTCTTCAAAAGAGTTAGTCTTTTCTTGATCACTGTGGACATTGTCTCCATGGTTCTGACTTCATGATAAAAAGTATTACAATGCTCTTCTTATTCAGGAATTTTTTCTTCCTAAACATCATCAACGTTAGAATCACCCAGTAGTTCACTGTCGGTTTTTGAAGATGATTCATCAGAATCATGAATCTCGACCACTGAATCATGAAGTTTGTCCTGGGCGACATCTGTATAGGTTTGTCAACTTCACCGACTGATCATTTGGTCGACTTAATATGACATTTCCATAAAGTTTTTTTTTGCATAAGTTAACCTATTAGTATTTGGAGAATATTATCTAAATAAAGGTAGTAGTTGAAACAAACTCACCTTGGGCACACCTACGTCAGGACTGGAATTCGCGCCTTTCAGGTTTGCCAGAGGCAAGCTTTTCAGCTGTCTTGGCTTCCTTTTCGCTAGCATGTATAGTGGCCCGTTTTTTCCCCTTGGCTTTGATAATGGGGGCATCAGTTGGACTAGATACGGCTTTTTGGGAACCAGGTCTAAAGCGTTCTTGGTTTCTTTTTCTTCTTTTTGGGATTTTCAGGGCAAGAATTTCCTACAAGGTCTTCGCCCTCATAATCTTTAATTTGTATGCCTTTCAATCACTTGAGAGGAGTGGCTTGTGTTTCCTCTTCAGTCTGAGCATCAACAAAATATTAGTACAAAGAAGAGAATCAAGTAAGGTGTGTGTATTAATAAAAGCTAAGATTCAATATAAAAGCAAACTTGTGCTTTTTTTTCTTCGACTGAAGCTTTTCCTCCCCTGGTTCACTTTTGTGAGGCAGCGACTGCACTACTAACGACATCCCTTATTTTCTTCCTGTTGTCAATTGTTGTAAGGAATGCGATAACATATATATATATATATATATATATATATATATATATATATATATATATATATATATATATATATATATATATATATATATAAAAGAAGAGAAAGGAAAATTATAAGATAAGAAAATTCTAGAAGTTCGCTGCTTCCCTCACCTACATGTATGATAGATAAAACTTTGACATGATTTATGTCGACATGAAAGTGATTTTTGAAACCGTTATGTCATGTATAGTCAGAACTACTCGTTTATCAAGTGTCATGCATTCTCTTTTGAGAATGTTCAAATGTGTCTGTTCACCGTGTTTCATGGTAAACAACCGTTGATCTTCCAAAAAAAGTAATTTTTTAGTTACTCGCAGGATCGATCAGTTTGATCCTAAGACATATGCTAATTTTTGATGTTGTTTGAACATAAACGTTAATGTGAGTGAAGAACACACGTTCGACTGGGAAAGTGATGAGTTTGAGTGTAGAAAGTAAATAGAACAAAGGGGTTGAGGAGAGTTTAGGTGCAAGAATCTGGGTAAAAGTGCAGATAAAATGCAAACAAGATAAAAAGGCAAGAAATGTAAAGAGAGAAATAAAAGACTTTGATTATAAAATATGGTGTTTCAAACGTACATTTTTCAGTATTCTTTCTCACGCAGCGGGTACTTGAATAGTATTGAATAATTTGTACGATCAGTTGAACACACGAAAATCTACATAAACTTCCTATATTTATACTAAAACTAGGTAACCGTCAAGGAGTTGCCTTGCTCTAGGATGAAGACAAGTGTCTTCTGCATGCGCTTCGACCCCTCTCTTCATGCCGCGTTGCTTTCCTCAACTGCCAAGCGAACTGTTTTTTCCTCCTTTCTTCAGATTCAAAATCTTCTGGTGCAGATACGAAGTTTCCTTCTGGTCGAAGACCTTGGGGTCCTTTCAGTCGAAGGGATTGAGAACCTTCTAGTCGAAGACTCATTTTAACTTAGAATTTCTCTACGTATTTTTCTACTTTGTCGAAGCCTTTCCAACTTAGATTTGTTCAATCTATTTTTGGCCCATAAGACCAACTTATTGTAGGTGTCGAATTTAGGAGCTAACAAATTTCCCTCCAAGAATACCCGTTTTGATGCAAGGAGAGTGTTGGCTCCTAAATTCGACACCTTTGTTTTGATTGATATCAGCCATTAAAGCTGAAAGATGCTTTCGACTGGCTAAGTGTTGGCTCCTAAATTCGACACCTTTGTTTTGATTGATGACAGCCATTAAAAGCTGAAGAATGCTTTCGACTGGCTAAGCCTGTCGAAGTGCCTGTCGAAAGATGGCAAAAATACTTAGAAGATTTCTTCCAAGGAAGAAGGCTGATTGCCTTCGACGTCGAAGGAGTTTTCGTCGAAGACGTCTCTTGACGAACGTGTTCGATGGTCCAGAGTGGAGCGGTTTGAAATTCAAAGCTTTGGAGGGAAAACGGTTTCCAGCAGTTACTACGTGCGAACGTGCAAGGATCTGGAGCGTCGAACATGGAGAACGTGACAAGTGGCTTGATCTCGAAGCAGTGTAACTGCCCGACGGTTACTTGGAATGTTTTTGTATAAATAGGAGTAGAAGTGTAGTTTCTCGCGTGTGTTCACAATAGATACATAGTCACTCATTTAGATTCAAGTACCCAGTGTGAGCGGACGAATTGTTGAGAAATGTATGTGTGAAACACCAATTTATCAATTCAAGTCATTTACTTTTCCAGTATTTTACATGCTTTTTCCCTTTAAGATTCCTGTCGAACCTTTACATTCAAGCCTTGTTTATTTTACCAAGCCTTTTCCTTTATGCAATTTACATTAAACAATTTACTTAAAGCCTTATCCAACTTAATCAAACTTCAAAATCAACCTATGTCCATAGGATCAATCTGATCGATCCTGCGAGTAACCAAATAAGTAACCATTTGGAGGATCAGCGGTTGTTTACCAAATCCCCAGGTAAACAAATTGGCACACCTGGTGGGACTGTGTGTTGATTGTTGAAAAAAATCTCATCTTTTCGAGTTGTATGTTATTGAGGAGTGGTAGAATATACACCAACGATAATAATACTGCCAGAAGAAGGGAAGAGATGGCGAATCCGCCAAACACTAGCGAAATTCCACCACCAAGTGTGGGAGCAACGGTTAATATGACCGTGAGTGAAGCGACGAATGCTGGTTCGATACCAGCAGTGTCAGTCACAACCACGGGGCCAATAACTTCTTCGTTTACAGGCCCCAGAATGACTTTGGGAACCCCCCCTCCAAGGGGAAATACTGGCCCAAGGCCAGTGGTTTCCCCAGGATTCATTCCATTCTATGGCATGCCAACTTCTGAATTGGCAAGCCTGACGAATGCTGCGTCCACTTATTCAGACCCTTTCGTGAGTGCCACTTCGCCACTCCAAGGCTCTGGAGTAGGCATGGCGAATAGAAATAGGACCCAACTCTTAGGAGGAACGTCCCAAGTAGCCCATGGCCTTACAAATGCCTCGACAGCAGTCCTGAGGCAACAGATGGACGAAAGCAACCATGATATGGTGCAAATGTTGGCACAAACTTTGAGTACAGTGCTAAATCCTCTAATACAAAATACTACTCAGTCGAATCAGCAAGTTACAGCGCAAATGACGCGTTTGGCTGACTTCTTTGGAGTACCCCCACCTATTCGACAGCCCCAAAGGGCGCAAATAAGAGGAAATCAGGGGATATTTGTAGAGGAAGAAACCACCATTAATCAGGCTCAACAGCCTGTAGAACAACCCGTCGAAGAACCTAGGGTAATAGCCCCAGAGGTAAGGTTAGTCAACAGAAACCAAAATGCTGACGAAGTGGTTCAGCATATCCAACACCAAAACATGGGTTTGGAAAATAATCTGGCAACCATGATCGAAAGGATCATGACTCAGAATGGGATGAACATGGGCTTTCGAAGGCCCAACTTTACTTCTCCTTTGTCAGAATATGTGTTACAAACTGACTTACCCCCTAGAACCAAAGTCCCCAAATTTACTAAGTTCTCTGGGGACACGACAGAATCCACTGTCGAACATGTGGCAAGGTATTTGATCGAAGCAGGAGACATTTCAAATAATGAAAACCTAAGGATCAAATACTTCCCAAGTTCCTTAACCAAGAACGCTTTTACTTGGTTTACAACTCTACCCCCCAATTCGATCCACCATTGGACCCAATTGGAAAGATTGTTCCATGAACAATTCTATATGGGGCAAACCAAGATAAGCCTGAAAGAACTGGCGAGCGTGAAGAGACGTTTCACTGAACCTATAGACGAATATCTGAATAGGTTTAGGTTGCTTAAGGCGAGATGTTTTACACAAGTGCCAGAACATGAGCTGGTCGAAATGGCCGCAGGTGGTTTAGATTATTCTATCAGGAAGAAGCTAGACACCCAGTACCTAAGAGACATGGCCCAACTGGCCGATAGAGTTCGACAAGTCGAACGCCTTAAAGCTGAAAAAGCTAAGGCAACAAAAACTCACAAAAGAGAAAGAATAGCGTACGTTGAGATGGATGACGAAGATCTAGAATCCTTCGACGATACTGTAGCTGTCGAAGAAGGAGAAGTCGACTTAGCAGAACTAAAACAAGGGCCTCCATACTCTTGTAAACAATTAGTCCCCTCAAATGGGAAAAATCCCATTGGTCCAGACAAGACCAATGATAGGTTCCCAAAAAAGACTTATAGTTTTGACATCACAAAATGTGATGAAATATTCGACTTGCTAGTTAAAGATGGCCAAATGATAGTACCCCCTGGGGTAAAAGTGCCTCCTCTTGATCAAAGAAAGAAGAGGGGTTTTTGCAAATATCATAATTTTCTGGGCCATAAAACTTCTCAATGTTTTCTTTTCAGGAATCTTGTGCAAGACGCTATTGAGGAAGGGAGATTAAAGTTTGCTGACAAATCCCCCATGGCTGTCGACTCCAATCCAATGAAGGCTGAAGCCCACTATGCAGAGCCCTCTGAGGTGAACAAGATAGAGGCTACCAAGATTCAGTCGAAGAAGCCAGGCATTAACATGGTCGAAGTCTCTAAGGACCACATCAACATGCCAATCTTTGGCAGTTTTTCTGGAAACTTATCCAGGAAGACAATTGAGGCTGTCCAGAAAGCGGTCGAAGATCCAAAGTCGAAGACTGCTGAAGTACAAAAAACTGGACCAAAGCCCAGTTCCCACTTGGCCACTGTTCAAGGCCAGACGGAGAATCTAGAGACACAAATGAAACAACTAACTCTTGCTAATAAGGATACCATGAATATCAACATGGTTGAACTTTCTGACCCTAAAGCTTCAGAAGAAGCCATAAGGCAAGAGCAAGCAAATAAAACGGCTTTCCCTAAGGAAAACGAAAACTTGGCAGATTTTTTACAAAGATGCCAGAAGAAGAAATCAGAGGTTATGCTATGTCCCAGATGTAGTTCTATCTTTGATAAAAAGGCTGCTGAGCACATACAAGGAGTGAGAGCAGCGAACAAGAGAAGGGAAAATTCTGACCTTCGACATGATCCCAGAAGGGGTTCTAATCAAAACAAGAGGCCTTTGACTTTTAGGCCTCCAACAAATGTACCAGTAGACACTTGGTACAAAACAT